TCTTGTGCTTGTGGTTGTACTCCAAATCAAAGTGCCATCTGAGTCCATCAAGAATAAACCTCCATCTTGCCTAAGTTGCAAGGTTGCATTAGCTCTAACTGGATTATTCCGATTTGCTGACCAAACTAATCTCGCGTAATATAGATAAGAATTGTTGTTACTGATCTTTGGGGATAAAAGGACGCCAAAAACGCAAGCAGTACCATTGTAATCACATAAGAAACCACAGACAAACAGAGTCTCGTTCCTTTCTCTCGATAGGATGGGTGTCAGTGTGGCTCCATCTGTGGAATTCACTACATAGGAGCGGGCGCGGCTATTGATCCAGGAAATGGAGGAATTGGTGATAAATGTTTCAGGAGGTTGACAACTAATTAGATGCTGTGAAGAAATGAAGAGGAGACTGGCCATGAAAAGAATGGCACTATAATTAAGCACCATTGTACTATTTTTTTCAGAAAGAAGGCTCTGTTTGATTGATCAGTATCAATCTTAAAATTCATCCTTTTATTCAAGTAGTTTTTTCTTCGGCAGATTGTGGTTTCAATTTCTCAGAATTCGATTGGTTTCAATTTCACTATTTGCAGCCACAACTAAATTCATACCATCAGTTTTTTTTTGTCCTGTTGTTAGTGTAGAGTTAAAGGAAGAAAAGTATAACAAAATTCTAACATTTGTGTGTATTTGTCAATCCTTGTCCAGTCAACTTGGAGAGGGACCTTGTCTTACTAATTTAAAAAAAATTTAACCTCTTTTCCAGCATCTTAATACTGTCAAACCCCAATAAAGGTGACAGCAATAGCATTTTACTTGAATAAAAATAAGAAAATAACATCGAAGCGAGAAATATGTGAAATTCAAGAATAAAATCATTAAAATTAAAAAAGGGAAAAGGGTCTAATATACCTCTTAACTTTCAAATTTAGAGCAATTTAGAGCTGAAGCGGCTCACATCACTTCAGCTCTAAATTCGATACCTAGTGGCGAATCTATGCTTTGATAATTAAGGAAAGGGGTCTCCTCTTTTAACCTCATTATCTTTGGGAAAATGCACAAGTACCCCCCAAACCTATGCCTGAAATTCTAGAGACACACTTATACTATACTAAGGTCCTATTAACCCCCTGAACTTATTTTATAGATAATTTTCTACCCATTTTCGGCCTACGTGGCACTTTCAACCAGATAGCTTGAAAAAATGGTCAACACGCATTGGCCCCAAAAGATAGTGCCACGTAGGCCGAAAATGGGTAGAAAATTATCTATAAAATAAGTTCAGGGGGTTAATAGGACCTTAGTATAGTATAAGTGTATCTCTGGAATTTCGGGCATAGGTTGGGGGGTACTTATGCATTTTCTCTCTGATCTTTATTTAAAATTGGCCTAACCCATCGTGGCCCCATAAAGTTGACATTAACTTTCACTTAGACACCTCAACTAGACTTTGTTCATTTTAGACACCTTATGTCATGTTTTGGTGTGTCATTTCGACTTTTTTTTTAATAATGAGCCAAATGTGTAAGGTGTGTGTAACACACTTGCTGATGACATGTCAACATGATGAATTAAACAAGGGAAAATGCATAAGTACCCCCCAACCTATGCCCGAAATTGTCAGAGATACACTTATACTATACTAAGGTTCTATTACCACTACAAGAAAAGTGTGAATTACATGGGGATTTTCCTGGGGATTTATATGAAAATTCGTAGGAAACTTATTTTCCTGCAAATTTTCATACTAATTCCTAGGAAAATCCCCATGTAATTCACACTTTTCTTGTAGTGGTAATAGAACCTTAGTATAGTATACGAAATTCCAGAGACACACTTATACTATACTAAGGTCCTATTACCCCCCTGAAGTTATTTTATAAATAATTTTCTACCCCTTTTCGACCTACGTGGCACTATCAACCAGATAACTTGAAAAAATTGTCAACACGCACTGGGCCCAGAAAATAGTGCCACATAGGCCGAAAAGGGGTAGAAAATTATTTATAAAATAACTTCAGGGGGGTAATAGGACCTTAGTATAGTATAAGTGTGTCTTTGAGATTTCGAGCATAGGTTGAGGGTACTTATGCATTTTCCCATTAAACAAAGACATGTGGCATACATATTGAAAATAATTTTTAAATGATGAATTTTGAGTAGAAAAAAGAGGCCAATGACTTAATGACACGTGACAATTTTTATACAAATATTTTTTTTAAACAACCTATCCTATGTTGTCTTCTCCACCACCCCCACCCCCGATCCTTAACCCCTCTCCCATCAGATTGTCTTCTCCACAATCCACAACCCCCTACCCCTCCCACAGTCAAATCATCTTCTCCACCACCTCCCACCCCCCGAACCCCAATCCTGATTGTCTTTCTCCAAAATACTTTCATAATAATTTAACTATTTGAAAAAAAATATTTTACAAAAGCACAATCAAAAACTAATTCGTCTTACTTATAACTTCAAATAAAATTAAATTCTTCAAATCCAAAACAAAGACTTCCATATTAAAAGAATTTCCTAGAACTTCTTTTAAAAAAATATGTTGATTTTTTTCAAAACATTTGGAGGAGGAAGAATTGCAACAAAATAAGAAAAGTTGTTTAAGCTTGAAATCTCTTGGTGTTGTCGCACCATCGGATCTATTTCTCCATGGAAAGAGTTTAAGCTTTAGAAAATAGTGGCTAAAGATGGGGAAGAAGAAGAAAAATATAAGATAAAAATAGGCTAAATAAGCTCTCCACGCGCTGGTAAGGAGTGTATCACACTCACTATGTCATGTCAGCAAAAAATATCAAAATGACACAGCGGGTCATGACATGAGGTGTCTAAAATGAACAAAGTCTAGTTGGAGTGTCTAAGTAAAAATTAGTGTCTACTTTAGTGGGCCACCGATGGGTTAGGCCTTTAAAATTTATCAACTTATTACTTATATTAGGGAAAATGCATAAGTACCCCACAGCCTATGCCCAAAATCCCTGAGACACACCTAACCTTTAATAAGGTCCTATTACCCCTCCCCTATTTTTTTAATTAATTTTCTACCCCTTTTCGGCATACGTGGCATTATCCTTGAAAAAATTGTCAACACGAGCTGGTCCCACAAGATAGTGCCACGTAGGCTGAAAAGGGGTAGAAAATTATATATAAAATAAGTTCGGGGGAAGGGGGGGTAAATAGGACCTTAGTAAAAGTTAGGTGTGTCTCAGGGATTTTGGGCATAGGTTGGGAGGTACTTATGCATTTTCCCCTTATATTATGTTAACCATTCATATAATAATGACATCAGTGAATATTTTTTCAATGTTGAATTGATAAAATCATATTTAAAACTAATAATTGAATATTTTTTCAAAGAAAGCATTTATAAAAATATTAGGGAGAAGGCACAAGTACCTCCTAGATTATGACCAAAATCTCAGAGACACACCTTAACTAAACTAAGGTCCTATTACCCCCCCCCCACCCCACCCCTGAACTCATTTTATATATAATATTGTACACCTTTTGGTTTATGTGGCACACTTCGTGACTCCACGCAGTTGAGGTGCGTGAGGTATATTTGGATACCATGCAAGCCAAAAATTAAGGTGTACAAAATTACAAAAAAAATGAGTTCAGGGGGGTAATAGGACCTTAGTTTAGTTAAGGTGTGTCTCTGAGATTTCAGTCATAGTCTAGGGAGGTACTTCTACCTTTTCCCAAAATATTAAGTGATAATTTGCATTTGAATAGTGCAAGAAAAATATATTTCAAATAAATACATAGGAAGTTTGTTTAGATTTTAGGCTTCCAATTGAAATTTCATTTTAGGCCTCCGATTACGTTGAGCCACCTAACCATTCCAATAGAGCCCACTCAGGTGGAACTAGACCTTCAAAAAGGAGGCAATCCATTCAGCTGTTCAAAATGAAATGGCTCATGGTACTCAATAAGTAAATTAGACTGGGAACAAAACTAACCTTTCTGTAGTAGACTGAAATAGTTTCAATATAATAAGGAATTATGATAAACACAAAATGCAAAATGGTCAACAAGAATGATCTGAGGTTTAATATCCAAATGAATAATCCTTTTATTTGGCAACAAATTAATCATAATCCTTTTTTTTGCAATAAAATCATCATAATCCTTGAAAGCAATTAAATGTGTCAGCATCATTATTCACCGTTGATTTGCTCTTTCATCCAACGGCGTATAAGTTCAATCCTCATGATTGTCTCTCATTGGCTGGGTTATAACTCCTGTGGGCTATAAATATCTCCACCGCTGATTTTCTCTTTCATCCAACGGCGTATAAGTTCAATCCTCGTGATTATCTCTCATTGGCAGGGTTATAACTCCTGTGGGCTATAAATATCTCCACCGTTGATTTTCTCTTTCAACGGCGTATAAGTTCAATCCTCGTGATTGTCTCTCATTGGTTGGGTTATAACTCATGTGGGCTATAAATATCTCCATTGTTGATTTTCTCTTTCATCCAACGGCGTATAAATTCAATCCTCGTGATTGTCTCTCATTGGCTAGGTTATAACTCCTGTGGGCTATAAATATCTCCACCGTTGATTTTCTCTTTCATCCAACGGCGTATAAGTTCAATCCTTGTGATTGTCTCTCATTGGTTGGGTTATAACTCGGGTGGGCTATAAATATCAAAGTTGGATTGCCTTAGGAACTCACATACACACAATAATTCACTTTTCTCTCGTTTCCATAGATCAAAAAGCAAACCCTTTTTTTTTTTGCAGTAGAGGAAAAATAACAAATGAGCGGTAAAGGAAAAACCCTTGGTTCCATTGCTGCAAAAAGGTCTCGTTCCCGAGCAGCAAACCCGATCTCCAATCCCAATCGGTTGTATCGCCTGATTCCTAAAAGCCAGAAAGTATGCTAAATGTGTTGTGTCGAAGCTCTGGTCTTCCTTGATGTTGTGCTTGAAGCCTTGAGCACCAGGTGAATTTCACTACTATTTTATTTTTTTGATATCTCATGTTTCTGAATTTTACATATCTGGATTGTTTGTAGGTGCTTGAATTGGCTGGAAACGCGGCAGAGGATAACAAGAAGACGAGGATCATTCCAAGGCACATTCAGTTGGCTGAATCAGCCAACTGAATGCGCCTTGGAATGATACTCGTCTTTTTGTTACCCCTCGCCGTATTTCCAGCCAATTCAAGCACCTACAAACAATCACAACTATGTAAAATTTAGATACTTGAGATATCAAAAAAGAAATATTAACTAAATTCACTTCAGCTGCAAGGTACTCGAGCATAGCAGCAAGGAAGACCAGAGCATTGGCACCGACATGTTTGACATACTTTTCGACTTTGAGGAACTGGGCGATATAACCAACTGGGAATTCGAGACGGGCTTTGTTGTTGCGGGAATGAGACTTTTTTTTTGTAGAAACGAAACCAAAGGTTTTTCCTTTGCCTGTCATTTTATTTTTTCTCTACTCCAAAAAAATTGCTTTTTGATCGATGGAAATGAGAGAAAAGTGAGTTGTTGTGTGGATATGAGTTCTATGGCAATCCCACTTTGATATGTTATAGCTCGAGTTATAACACATCCAATGAGAAGAAAATCACAAGGATTGAACTTATACTCAATTGGATGAAAGAGCAAATCAACGGTGGATAATGATGCTGACACATTTAACCGCTTTAAGGATTATGATGAGTTTGTAGCCAATAAAAAAAAGAATTATGATTAATGTGTTGCCCAAGAAAAAAGGATTATGAGAAGTTTGTAGCCAAAAAGAAGGGGATTATGATAATAATCTTTTTCTTTGGCAAACAAACTCATCATAATCCTTTTTTTTTTGGAAAGAAATTAAACATGTATAATCTTCCTTTTAGCAACAAAGTCATCATAATCCTTGAAAGCAGTTAAATGTGTCAGCATCATTATCCACCGTTGATATGCTCTATCATCTAACGACGTATAAGTCCAATCCTCGTGATTGTCTTCTCATTGGCTGGGTTACAACTTCTGTGGGGATATAAAATATCAAAGTCAGATTGCCTTAGGAACTCACAAACACACAACAATTCACATCTCTCTCGTTTCCATCGATCAAAAAGCAAAACTTCTCATTGTAATTCCCACACACGGTTGGATACCCGCAGTCTCCAATAGAGTCTGTCAATAGATCATCCCTTGTCCAAGATGATCCTTCCCAGTGATACAACCCTTAAGTGTCCATCAGCCTCAAATTTTATGAATCTACCTGGTTCTTTACTTTTGAATAATATTCCTTTGGTGTAGAGAATAGCAGAAGAAAAGTATAATCGAGAAACCTTCTGCTGGCCCAAGATCGTTAACTAAGATCAAAAGATTCAATTAAGAAAAGGAAGTAGGAGAATGTGTATTTTGAATAAGAAAACTTTGTTATGTTCTTTAATTGCTTTCAATTTAGGTTGAATACAAATGACAATGATCATCCCTATTTATACTTGTGTAGGGATGATTCTAGAAATTATTCTAGATACATTTTCAAGAAAAATCTAAATAATCTTATCTTCTAAATATCTAACAAGAATCTAGACTATTCTATACTTTACTATAAATATCTAATTATCTACAACATCTACACATTTCTTAGATACTACACTAGGCTTTTCTAGATAAATCTCGAAGAACCATTGGACTATTTTCAGCTATTATGCAATTAAAATGCAATTATCTCGAAGAACAAAAAGATTTGTTATACCTAATACCTTCAGTTTGATTAGTATCTGTCTTAGTTCGACCCTCTCCAATCAACGTGAAGAGGGGCCTCATGGAAATTTCTCCAATATATTAAGTAACTATTATCTTACAAATTTTGTTGACTTCTACACTCTTTTCCAACACCTCAATATTGACTAGAGATGGCAAACATACGACTCAATGGAACTGATGGTCTAAAATCAAAATGCAGTTTCAAATCATATATCATATATCGCATATCATATCATATCATATTATATTATAAGTGGGAAGAATTCAAGTCAAAAGTTGAATTACGGTTTTACCCTCCTATAAATTAAAATGTTATAATAAGTTTAATTAAAATAGTAATGACTTTTGAATTTTCTTAGATTAATTCCTATATATATAAATATTGTTATTATTATATCTGATTAATTAAACATTAAATAGTAATTATATTAATATTATTATTATTATTATTATTATAATAATAAAAGTGGGTAAGTATATTTTTACTCTTATAAACTAAAAAATTATAAATATAGTTTGGCACATCATTAATTCATTTATACCCAAAAACTTTTCTCATCATTATCATTTCATTAAAAACTAATTAACGGCTCTAGATCTCTTTGCTTCAACTTCATTCCATTTATTTGTTTTAAAAAAAGAATTACTAACCGTGCAATTCTAATTTTACTCGAAATTTAGTTTCGAAAATCTATATATAACTATATAGTTGGGAAATGAAAATGGTGATTTCACACCTCCAAAGCTCAGCATCTATATATATGTTCTTCTTTTTTTTTTCCAGATTTTTTTAACTTTCATCCGTATTTCAATAAAATTTCAATTTTCAAAATGATTTTCCTAATCAAAATGATTACAATATGATTTATGAGTCTTAAATAAGGGAAGAGGAGGAGATTTTGGAATTGAATTACATCTTGCCCTATATACAATAATTATATCTTAAATAATGAGAGGAAGAGGTTCAATTTAATTTGATAGAGTAGACAACTTTAATGACTCAAAGAAGAAAAGACAAAATAAAGTTGGTAAGGAAGCTTAGCATTGAATAAGTTAAAAACGGCTTCTCTGGTAAATCCTCCCTGGCCTCCTCCTCATTTTTCTTCACAAATTCAATGAGATCTCTTTGTATCATTTTGCCAACCGTTACTAGAAGTACATATACCATTATAAGTATAAATTATATCTAATTTGCTATTTATTTTTGTCCTTTCCAATTCTCTACTTGACCACTCAACTTTTAATCTAATTGGTCTCTGAGTTCATTCCAATTACATTATGGTAGTTTTTAAATCTTTTTCCATCTTTAGAGAATTCCGTATCACATATTGAAATTAAATTGGAGTAATTATCAACGATGACGATGATATTATAGTTCTCTTTCTATTTAATTCCACGAGTTGATGGAGATATTTGGTAAGTTCTTATTTAATAGATTCATTATTACTTTATAGTTCGTCTACGATTTTCGCTTGAAGGTTATTTTTATTGTTGCAATGATAATAGTGTGTTACAAGCATTTTTCTATTCTCTGTTATTTTTCTATAGAGTAGAAAATGTGGTCAAAAAGTTCTTAATTGCATTAACATTTACACATATCATTTACATATATTATACAATACTTTATAAAAGTCGACACCAAAGTGGCAAAGTGTTAAATCACTTCCATCATTTTATCAATTTTCTCATCTTCTCTCTGTCAATTCTCAACGACAACTACAAGGCTCGGGTTATTTTTCCCCATATTTTCTGCTAATTCCCTACCATTTTGAAACTTATACTTAGTGAGATTACGAATAATATAATGGTTAATTACTTTTTCCCTTTATAGTAGATTGCTTTACTACTCTAATATAACGTGAATTGCTTTATTTGTACTTTATTATTAATATTTAATAATAGTTGGCTTAATATTATATTCAACATGTTACTTTGTGATTTAAGGATGTTTGTGCATGTCTCTTATAACTTTTATGATTTTGAATATCACAATAATTCTCTTTCTTTTTAAATTTAAAAACATGTAATCTTTTTTGCTTTCGTAAACTACACGAAATCAAATGAAAGAGAGAATTCAAACATGTACTTTGGTTATACTTCTCTTATCCTATTTTATGGGTTGTAGTAGGAATAACTATTAAAAGATGCCATTCAAACAAGAATGTTACAACTTAACATGGCTCACACGTGCAGCGCACGTATCCATGACTAGTATCATATATATATATATATAAAAGAGAACCTTAGGCCCGCCTATGTGGCGCCACCACAAACCAGAATTCCTTTTTTATATATATTTACAAAAATATCATTCCCCTTTCATGAAAAGATGTGAAATTTATGAAAAGTTGTGACTTTTATGAAAAGTTGCGACTTTAATTAAGAGTTGCACCTTTTATGAAAAGTTGTGACTTTTATGAAAAGTTGCGACTTTAATTAAGAGTTGCACCTTTTATGAAAAGTTGTGACTTTTATGAAAAGTTGCGACTTTAATTAAGAGTTGCACCTTTTATGAAAAGTTGTGACTTTTATGAAAAGTTGCGACTTTAATTAAGAGTTGCACCTTTTATGAAAAGTTGTGACTTTTATGAAAAGTTGCGACTTTAATTAAGAGTTGCACCTTTTATGAAAAGTTGTGACTTTTATGAAAAGTTGCGACTTTAATTAAGAGTTGCACCTTTTATGAAAAGTTGTGACTTTTATGAAAAGTTGCGACTTTAATTAAGAGTTGCACCTTTTATGAAAAGTTGTGACTTTTATGAAAAGTTGCGACTTTAATTAAGAGTTGCACCTTTTATGAAAAGTTGTGACTTTTATGAAAAGTTGCGACTTTTATGAAAGGTTGTGATCTTTCCGAAGGGTTGCAACTTTTCCAAATAGTTATAACCTTTCCGATAAGGCACAATAAACATTTGTTCACACTACCCTTTATTGTCTATAAGTAGAGGGATTTCCTCTCATTTTAAAACAACGAAAATTCTGGACCTCTTCTTCTTCTTCTTCTTCACAATTAAATATTTGTGTATTTTGCTCCTGTTGAGTGACTCACTGACACCATTGCTTATGTTACAGATCCTGATATGTATTCTTACCGTCATTAAGTTATGCTTCTGTTATTAAGGATAAATGATAAGATATAATAATTTTTATTTTCCTTTACATTATTAATGATTGATAGATTTAAATATTATTTTATAAATTTCATGATATCAAATTTCCGCGCGAAGCGCGAATAATTTTACTGGTTATTTAATAAACAAAAAACATGTTTAGATATGTCTAGCTAGATATGCCCTTCATTGATAGTTTAGCTTAAATATATTTTTATCGTTCTATAGTTAGTCCAAATATGCCCTCCAATAATTTAAGGGCATATTTGAACCAATTGAGTGACAAGGGCGTATATAGGTTAAACTATTAACTAAGGACATATTTGAATATTTTACTTCACTCTATCTAATAAATGCTAACTACAACTAACAATCGGGGAAAGCTGTCCAAGTAACCGACCCCTTCACAATAACTAGTTCATATATTACAATTTTTGCATTATTAATTATACATTATTACTAATTTCCATATTACAATCTCATCATTACTAATATTTATATACATCAATAATCTTGTATCAAGTTAAATACATATCCAAATATAAATTTAATTCCGAATATGTATTGATGAATATCTAGTATATAGAAGATTTGTTTTTTAATATAT